AATAGTCACCGGTGTCCGTTTCATCAGCATCAGCTCCCTTAGACAATGAGGAAATTAGTTCAGAACAACAGCAGATGGGGAAATTAGCTCAGGACAACAACAAATTAAACTTAACTGTTTCTGTAAAATCCCTCAAATCCCTCAAAAAATCAACTCAATCCTTCAAAAAAATGGCAAAAAAATTACATCGGCGCGAGATCTTGGCAGTACTGCATGCAGGCTCAATAAATCGTTTTCCAGACGAGTGATCAGTGCACGCTGTCGTTCCACAGCTACGCCAAGTTCATCTCGAACAGATTCCGCTGCACTTAGACGTTCTGGAAATTTCACACATTCGTTATTTCTCACAATAATTCTCCATAGAATACTGATTCATGTAGTTTCTCTCATTAATTCACTGTTACAAGACTTTCACTAATTGTTAATTCATAGCCTATTTCCCCAAATGTGCATCTGACAGTTTTTATTCCAGTTGCTTTGACCAGTGGTGCACTGCCTGGTGGTCAGTCTATTGGCGATCTTGATGTTGCAGAATAAAAACCAAAAAAAGGCGCAACTTAAAAAAAGAGGAATTTTATTTGAAATGATAATATTTTATTAATGATGTGCAAATTTATCAAATTTTTGTAAGTAAAAAAGCAATGCCAAAATATTTTAAAAAGAAACAGGAAAAGAACTACCACACAAGATTTCATTAACAATGAAAAGTTCTTTTTATGGAACTTTTCAAAAATATACACAGTTGTTTTAAATGTTAGCGCGCAAAAGGCAAACGTAAATTATAAAGAGGGATTTTCATGAAACAAATCAGCGAAATTATGGAAAAAAACCACAAATTACCGGACAGATTCAAGGAATTACTTTGAATACTGTTCAGATGATGACGATGGTAACGCACTACTACCACATTTGAGTAAATCAAGATAATAGTGATAAAAATGATGCAGCATTTTTTTGTAAAACGCAATATCAAGGAGGAACAACAATTAAGAAAAAACGATAAAAGTGAGATCGTGATTTAAAAAAAAACATCGACAAATCGTAGGAACAATTATGGAGACCCTTAGGAAATTAACAACCGTG